GTCCCCACAGTTTCCTTTTAGCATATCAATAGCATATTGGGAATTTGTCTCGATGCTAAGATCCTTATAGCCTTTCTCGAAAGCTATCGTCAAACCCCTGTATAGAGCCCAAATCTCCGCTTCAATGCAGGTACAATTTGTGAGCTTCCCGAAAGAACCACAAAGCCAAATGCCTCTCTCATCACGGATGAGACCCCCAAAGCCAATATCACTTGGATCTCCTTTCGAGCTACCATTCGTGTTTATTTTTAATTTACCTGGAGAAGGAAGAGACCAACTAATTAGCTCATTATCCAAAATGTTGATGATAGACATATTAAAAGCATCTTTAATATCAGTAGCATATCTATGTATAAGGTAAAGACTATGCCGCTAAGGCAAATCAACATTTTCAAAAATCTGAAGAATTCTATTTTTCCAAATCTGCCATAGAGAGGTAACAAAAAGCGTGGGTTCAATGAAAGGAATAGATTTTGACTTTAAAGAGGACTCCACCCAAATTTTAAAAGATAAGTTCCTGCAATTAAACAGCCAAGAAACACAATTCAAACTCGTCAAGATAGATCTAGCTTTGGGACAGTCAATCTCTTACACTTTTGATCAAATCTTACTTTGATCCTTATACAAGTGTCAATGTCTACATTCTATTCTTCCATTGTTTAAATCTTTAATAAAATTCTGTCACGTGACAAAAATGTGACAACATGTTGAAGGTAAGAGAGAAAAATAATTTTCATTTTTCACCAATATACACTTTGCCTCAAACTTTACATCAAATTATGACTCTATCAAACTAAAACAAAACGTAGATTAAGAAGATTAGGGTTTTGTATAAATTAGAATTACGAAACTCTATTTTTCACTGTAAAACAATTTTTTATCTATTCAGCTTCCTTTCTCTTCGATTTCTCTACTGTCTTTTTTGATTTCAAAAGCTCTATTTTCTTATATTTTCGTCTCAATTTTCAACATACGAATATATATAACTCTCACTGGGTTATAATGTAAGACAAAGTGAGTATTGGTTAAAAAAATATAAATGATTTTTCTCTCTTACCCTCATTTCGTAGTTATATTTTTGTCACATTACTGAATTTTGTTAAATATTTAAATAATGTAGTAACATGAGTATATTGACACTTATCGGGAAACAAAGTGAGATTTGTCCAGAAGTGTAGGGGATTGATTCTCATGATTTCATGTGTAGAGATCAAAGTTAGATTTGATATAAAGTGCAAGGGTGCAAAGTGTGATTTACTCGACTTTTTGTCTTCTTAGCCCAATATCACTATTTAATAAATCGCAAGTGTCATATTAAACAAACAAAATTTATAAAACCATCTCTAACGCTTACTCAAATTTTTTGTCAAATTTGAGTAAATATTTAAGTAAAAGTTTCATCTGATACCATACATTCTAATACTGATTTTTCAATTTCATCAAACAACTGGTTGACTGAGTGGATGTTCGAAAGGATGTCTGAGCGGTTGTCCGGCTTGTGTAAATTGACAAAATCCTGAAATGGGCAACTTTGCAAGTCCGGTTGACTAAGTGGTTGTTTGGGAGGACAATCAGCCGATCGTCCGGTGTACCGATCCCCAACGGCTATCTACAGTAATTTGATGAACGATGAAGTCTCCCTCAATTTGATGAAAATTTTGGTTTTCCCTTCATTTGATATGGTTTTGATGTCAACGTTAGAACACAAAAAGTAAGCGCATATCATCAAATTTAAATTTGATGAAATATTTGATACATGGTTAGAGACGCTCCAACATGACATTATATAAATTTTTTTTTTCATTTTTATATAATGCACTATATCTACCTATTTGAGAAGTTGGTTAAAAGTCAACTTTTTGATTTTTTTGGGTCACACCGCCTCTCCACTTTTTTGCATATTTTTTTTTAAAAAGTCAAAAAATTAGTTTTTAACCTATTTCCCAAAATAGGCTAATTACAAAATGCTTTCACACCATTCTGATTGCGCTTTATGTACATTTTTTTTTTGATCAGCAAAATAAGAGTTTTATTGATGAAAAGAAGCACCATACATGCAAAAAGACATCAACAAAACCTGGAACAGAAAGAGAATTGGTGAGAGACCAATCCAAACCAAAACAGAGGTAACTACAGAAAAATACAGGACAAGCAGTGAGGTTTCATCAAACAACACACCAACTTATCTCCAATACACCTGAAAAACACACAGACAGACAACTCTTACTCAGCAAACACCTCTAACTCCACTATATAATGCACAACAGCAACTCTGAGCCAGGCACCTCGAAAGTAAACATTTCTGGAGCAGCTCTGAACAACCCAATGCAGCTTCATCAGAACAACATCTCTAAAGCATCTCTGAACAACCCAATGCAAACCAAAGCAAACTTCTCTGGAGCAGAGCAATACACCTCTACAACAAAACATACACAGCTCTTGAACTCCTTGCCTCAAACTCCTTGACACAGATTACCACCTCCCATGTTTCACCCAAACTCCAAACTGCAAAAATTCACTAACACTCCAAACTGCAAACTTTTTATGAGACCTATAGATCTTATGAGACCTATGCTTACCTCAGCTTCATCAATCCCTCTTATATTCCATGATTGAATCTTCATGTAGACAAATTTGCACTCTTAGTTCCCTGCCAGCAGTAGCCTAGTTGGCATCCCCAACCCGAGCTCTAGCTACAGCTGCATAGTGAGATTTATTCATCTCATTCAATGTTAGTAATAATTACATAATGTCACCGTTGTATTAATTTTTTTAGCCAAAAAAATACAAAATCCCTATTTTAAAATGAACTTTGAATTTAACTTCTCATTCACACTCTACAAGTTAAACAAATGAGAGCAGTGAACATCAGCAAGTATTATACACACAAAGACCTCAATCTTCCTATAATTCGACAAAACAGTACCCCGCTCTACACGTCATAGGTGGGTCCCACCGAATCTACCCTGTGCTTGGCCATGTCCGAACCAATTGGTCGGTAGGCAGTGGTCAAGGGTTCAATCCCAAAACCATTTCATATTGTTTTTTATAACAATAAATATAATACTAATTAAAAATGATTTCTTTCCGATTCAAGTATGGATTAGTGACTTTCTATATAATAAAAAACAAAAATGAAAAAAAGAGAGAGTAGGGATTAGTGGGAACAGAACCGAGATTTCGTCTTTATTTTTATTTATTTATTTTATGTCAATCAATTGGCGATATTTACAATACGAAGAAATTTAAATTGCGTTCATAGTCTAACAAATTATCAAAATTCAATATCTAGTCCAAAAAAGAGTTTCATAATAGAAAAAAAAAAAAAAACTAATCAATTTAAGAACGATCCATATAATAGGGAGAAGTTAATAATACAACAAAAGAGTTCCGTAATTGAGAAGAAATTGTCATTTTAACTTTTTTTTATTAACAAAATAAAGATTTTATTGATATTGAAAATAATACATAGAGAAGACCTGACTGTATTGCATTATAGTTCCAAAAATAAATCCCAACTATGTTGATACCTATAGTTGAACCAAATCAAGTGAATGAGTCCCGTCTTGATAATCTGAACTATTCATTTTTTAGACCATAATATTTAAATTATCCACGAAAAAAATTAGATTGATTCAATAATCGTAACTATGTTAGTTTGTGGCATTTATTTGTAAAAAAAAAAAAAAAAAAGATAAATATTATTTGAAAAACTAGACCATTCATTTTTTTGAAAAATAAATGTAATAAATTATCGTGGTTACAATAATCAGATCAGTGTGATTTTTTTTCATGGAATCTACACATCATGGCCTAAGAAGTAAACGATTTGAATTATCGAAACGGGACCTATAATAGGTCCCACGAGCGTGAACAATACGGTCCAGTTCACTTTTTGGACTGGAGACAACGTACTGCGTTCTTATAAATTAAATATATAGGGGCAAAAAGAGCTAAAATAGTTAGTAAGACAAAATGTCACATTCTACACATCAATTAATTATTATTTTTTCTTTTACAACCATCTATTCAACTACACATTACCGTTGAATCAAAAAAAAAAAAAAAACAAAAAAATAAATCTATAAATCATCCAAAACATAACTTTTGTTCATCTCATAAAATAGTCAAAAAGTCAACAAAAGTAGCCAAGTTCCCAAACGAAATAAAAAAAATGCCAAAGTGAAACAACATTCATTGCTTGGATTGATACAACAAATTAAGGTTTTAAAGATAAAAATTTAAGGACATAATTAATTTTTAAGTACCAAATATCTTAATTATTAAAAGTGTCATTATTTTATTTTTAGTGATAAAATTAAATATTAATAATGAATTACTGTTATTTTCAGATCCAAACTTTCGTCTAAAAGAACAAAACCTTATGGCACAATTATTTTCTCCATATGCTTTCTTTAACAATATTTTCAAAATTTTATTATTAATGGTCTTTTTTTAACTTTTTGAGACAATTTTTTAGTGACGATTTTCAAAACACATGAATTAGTGTCTAATGTTTTTTGTACCAATTTTTTTTTTTTTTTTTAAACTTCTAAAGACAAAAATATTTGATAAATAAAACCTTATATACTGTAGTGTAAACGGTGGGTTCAAATCTCCCAATCGAAAACAAGATCCGATCAAACTAATAAATGCTTTCTCGTAGTATATCACCCTCATTCACCAGAACAAAAATTAGAACAAGAAAATTCTCACAAACAATAACAAAAACAGTCATATCTATTTTCAAACATAAGAAAAATCTTCGTAGTCCAAAAGTTGAGTTTCAAAAGGGCCAGGTCTTCTTGTAGACTTCAAGGAAAATAAAGAGAATATTGGTAAAGAAGACTATGACTAAGTCACATATTCCTAGCTTCTTCCTTGTACCGTGTTTGAGATATACTAAATACTTTGAATAATTTTCTTTCTTTATTTATTTATTTATTTATTTTTGTTTTTGGCACTAACCTAGAAGAAACCCACTAAAAACACCTTTCCACCTATTTAAATTTCTTCACGTATATTCATACACACATATATATAGGTTGTTGACAGCTGAGACAAAACCCTAAAAAAACCCGGAAAAAGAAAGTTTTAATTAACCGCAAATTAAGCCATGGATGAGATCAATTCTTTAATCTTCCATGGGTGCAAGTTGGCTAGAGACCTTGAATTAAACCTGCCAAACATAGCCAACCAACCAAACATGGTCTTAAAGTCATGTGATGATATTGTGAGGATTTTCAGTGCTGCCAGAGACCGCTTGAGCGGTCAAGGTTCGAGTTCAACATCGTATGGCAGTGGTGGTGGTGGAGGCCTAATTCACGAGTCGCAAATGGCTGGGATCGGTGGTGGTAGTAGTGGTGGTGGAGGAATGCATGAGTGGCTAAGATTTGCTAGTTCACAAGCAATGGACTTACTTCAAGCCCAGTACGAGGTGCAGGGTGGGTCGGCGGAGATGGGTGGTGGAGTGGATGTTTCAGGAGGAGAATTGGGTGGCGGCAGCGGTGGTGGTGGTGGAGGGGAGGTTCAGGCGATGGATGTGTCAGATTCCAGCAGGGGTACTTCGTGGCAAAGACAAAGAAGGAGGTGAGAAGCTTCTAAGTTTTGAAAATTCATGTTTTTGTTTGTTGTTTTGTTTGTTATGTTGTTGAAACAGTAAAGTGTGAAATCTCTTACAACATAGTATGAACAAACAAATTATTAAAAAGGCAAAACCAAAAAAAAGCTACAAAACACTACCACCTCTTTTCCTAGAAAGTTTGGTATTTTTTCACTATTATTCATCAAAATAGATATCAAATAAGAAAATATATATACATCTCTCTCTATATATATATATTATATCATTCGAATTGGATCGGCCACTAAGATGAATACACGTGGAGGCCAACAGCCCATGCACCAATAAGAATTGAGGAATAGTTAATTTTTTTTATTATTTAATTTTTTTATGTGAGAGAGAGGAAGAAAAAGAAAAAGAAAAAAAGAATGAGTGAAAATAGAAGAAACGGTTATTCTAAGGGTGGATTACATGCAAGATTGGTCCCACTGTGGTTACCTGGTAATTAAGATATCCTTTATTTTAAAAGTTGTCATTTTTTTTTATTATTTTTTTTATTATTTGGGATTTTTTTTTTAGGGTCCTTGGTATTATGATTTTATAGCATAAAGGACACTTCATATTTTTATAATGTCTAAAGTCCCTCAACATATTTTCATAATGTCTAAGGTCACTCAACCTTGATCTAGAGAAATTTCAGTCCAGAGAAAATTGGTCCAGAGAAATTCTGGCCTCTTTGGAAAGTCTAGAGAAATTCTGAATTTCTCAGAATTTCTCTGGTCCAATTATTCTCAGAATTTCTCAGGCAAATTCTTCCTAAAATTTCTCAGCATTTCTCTATTGCATTGGCTGAGTCCAGAGAAATTTTGAATAATTCTTCTCAGAATTTTTTCAGCCCAATCCTTCCTAGAATTTCTCTGATGCATTAACTGACTGTCCTGACCATATGCAATCACATGCTCTTATGGACATTAGGTAGTACTTTGTTCTCTTTACTATATCACTAAGAAAATTTCCAGATCTGCTGCTACTTTTAGCATGCAAAATGCCCATGATTTTGTTTGGTATTGATTAGTACTCTTTCTCTCTTGAATTTTCAATTGAATCAGTGAAATTCAATTCAGTGAATCAAAATGAGAATGCTCTGAATCAGAATGTGAATGCTCTGATTCTACATCACAAAGAAAATCTCACTAGAGAATTTCTCTGGATTCGACCCAGATAAATTTGCCTCTCCACTCTAGAGAAATTTACTCATTCCCAGAGAAAATTCCCTCCAACCAAAGAAATTCACTCGAACCCTCACACACAGTTCCAACAGAAGCAAATTAAACAATAATACTTATTGCAGCAAAAATGAAATTAGTCTTTGAGAAGGAATTTTAGGTTTTGCTTCAGTAAAAAAATCAGAGAATTTCTCTGGTTTCAGTCCAGAGAAAATTCAGTTTTCTTTTACCTAGAGACTGTAAATTTGATCTTGAAGTTTCAATTATGTGCATGAATGTAGGTATTTTTCTTTAGGTAGTAACTCTATGGCACCCTCAAACTCAATATAATCATCACCAGCACCATCATCCTCCTCATCAAGACCACCAGCAATCCCCTCATTGAGCCGAGTATTCTCCGGTAACTCACCATAAGCTTTTAACAACCTAGCTTCATCAAGCATATACTTGTGAATGACATCAGCCTTATCGTCCTAATAATCTCTAAGTCCGACGAGTACGATGTCTCCGGCGGCGATCCAGACCTTCTTGTGCATCTTGCCACGGGTGTGACACAGTCGCTTGGTTCTGTTGATGCACATGGCTTCACAACGACCGTTTCCGAGCATTCGCTGAACCTAAGCATACTCTTGGCCGTCTTCTTTGAAGACGAGTTCGCGTTTCTCATCGTCTGCTTCGTTCTTACCTCTCTTTCGATTCTTTCCTCTCGCTCTAGATTCTCTCTCTAAAAAGTACATAGTGTTTTTGATAGGTAGAATGAAGAGACAAATCATCGAATTGGTTGATGGAGGTTTGAAGGATGAGGGATATCAAATTTCTTTGTAGGGACCTTAGACATCAAAAAATAATTTTGTGAATCTCTTCTATTACGAAAAGTGGGAGAGGGACCCTAAACCAATTTTCCCTTATTATTTTGGGTTTATTATAAGCTGTCCTTATTGAATAAAAATTATAATTAAATGAAATGAACACTTTTTATTTCTTATTAACCCAACAATATAATTTCACATTGTTCTGATGATTATATATATATATATATATATAAAATTTATGTGTATAAATGATTTTATTTTTACTAAATGTACAACAATTTTCTATATGAGGTTCTTTTCATGACTTCGTTGGGTAAACTTGTACATAGAATGATACAAATCAAGGAGAAATGTCTGTGAAACACTAACAATGGCATTGTTTAGTGGTGGGAACTTATTTTTATTTATTTATTATTTATTTTTTACAAGCCATGTTTTAAGTTTTATAGTACCATGATAGTTTTTTTTTTTTCCTTTTTAATTAATTTTTGCAAAGGGAGTGAATTATAGACCATACAACATGCAAGAATTTCCATAAGGTTGCTGTTGAATGAAGAAAATCTCTCTTCCCCCCTCCCCTCCCAGCAATTATGTCTTCTAAACAAACCTCTTGCTTTGTGCATACAAATATTGAAAAATGCTACATATTGCCTATTTTTGTCATCATATTGTCTCACCGCTTGCGTCAATTCTTGTGTTGTTTCCAGAACAAAATAAGATTGCAAGAAAGAATCTCAATTCTACCAAAAAAAAAAAAATTCAATGAAATGCATGTCATATCATGTAATCCAACAATTACTAAATTATTACGACGAAGGTAGTTATATCTTAAAAATAGAGTTCACCACCCATATGTACTTTAATTATTAATTGATGATATAGCATCATAATATTGAATTTTAGCTCCAATTCTACACCACCTATAAAAATCTCGCGCATTGAGTCTTAAAAAAAAGAAGAAGAGAGAACTTATGGCTAAAATGCAACTCTATTAATGATGACATATGTGATGATAAATAAAGACAAATGTTATGTTAATATTGGGAATGCAATAAAAAGGGACAAATTATAATGGTAGCCTCTATACTTTGTTTTTTTGTGTTAGTTTAATCCCTATAATTTCAATTTGTTTAATTTTAACTATGATTTTATGGTTTTATCTTAATTTGGTTTAATTGATTACAATTGTTAGTATGTTTTTTTTAATGAAAAATGCCCAAATGAGTGACATGTGTCATGCTTGCAGGGACAAAATTGTAAACTTGATAAAATTCAGTGAGTTAATCTCAACTAACTTAGTGATATTTTTCTGTCAAAAACCCTAATGACATAATCAATTAAATCAAATTAATCCAAAATCTAAATGTGAGTGTCAAAAGTTAGCCAATTAAAAATATAGGGACTAAAATAATACAATAGCTAAAATATAGGAACTACTTATAATTTGCCCATAAAAAAAAAAAAAGTGTTTGGAATTTATTAATAAATATCTCCTAATTCATTTTTTCTGCCATTTTCTTATAATTATTTATTTATTTATTTTTATTTTTTTTCAAATTTGCCATTTGCTTATAGCTTAAAAGACGTACACTTATTAACAAAACCTTATGGTCTATAAATGTGATTGTCATAAGTTATTGGAGAATGAATAGGAATAATGTTATATATCAATTAGTATACTAACAGATGATATGGTGTAATTTTAAAAATTTTGATTATCACTAATTTGTATAATAGGTGAAGTCATAATTTTGAAATAATAATATCATAACATATGTTGGTAAGTATATCAATTGGTACGAGGAGATGTATCCATAACTTTATTTATTTATATATTTTCCAATACCATGAACATATATATTGTGGTAAATGCTAACGGCTAGTTTTGTTTTGTTTTGTTTTGGAAATTGGAATTCAAAAAATGAAGGAAGGATGACGGGAACAAAAGAAGGGTGTTGATGCCAGCGCCTAGGATGGGGAACACAGAGATACCACCAGAGGATGGTTACACCTGGCGAAAGTACGGTCAAAAGGAGATTCTCGGGTCAAAATATCCCAGGTAACCTATAAATTACGTTTAATTGTCTCAAATGGCCTCTTCTACTTTAATGTTCTTCGTCTTCATTTTTCATGTGTTTACCCATCATGGGTCGACGTTGAATTGAAGCCTTCAATCATCAAAAGTGACCCCTAATACTATTTTTATCAGCCATGAAAGCTTTGAATTGACCATGTCAATTCAAATACCAGCCATGATCAGCCCCAAGTGTCATTCTCGTCTTCTTAAATCAGAATTAGTGCCTCACTAATATAATATTATATGAGTGTATAGTGTAATTGGTTGGTAATTCTCTTTTGGCAAGCCTAGACTCGAGGATATTGTTTGGGTCACAGCTCACATTACCGTCATTAAAACGGTTTATTTGTTAGGTCTTTCGTGTATTTCATTTATAAAAACATCAGGTCAATCTAATAGTCGTTGGCCTTTTGAGTTTATCATATATAGATAACAAATGTATTTTTAAAAATAAATTATTAATTTAAATTTTTAGTGACAAACGCGATAAATTTAACAAGATACGAATATAAGATTGACTTAATTTTTTTATAGATGAAACACATGAAGGACTCATAAAAATAAACTATTAAGATCATTAAATCAGGACCTGTGGTGAGGTCCATGGGGTGCCCAGTCCATTCGCTTGTATATATCTTGCATAGAAAAATTAACAATAATAAAATATACATGATATTTTTATATGTAACAATGAAGACTTCTGGATCTTGGCATACTATGATGAAGCAAGTACTTTCTCGCTGCTTTTTAATAAATTTTTCTTTTTGGAAATAAAAAAAAAAGAAAGAAGACTTTTAGAACTAACTTTTAGAACTAATTAAGGGTTGGTTTGGTGAATGGGACACAATTTTATTAGATGGTATGTCTAAAGAAACTTGGTTAAAAGTTTTTGCTTAATGAACTAAGACACAATTTTATTAGATGTTATGGCTGAAGAAACTTGGTTACAAGTTTTTGCCTAATCAATCAAGATTATTTCCGATATTTTGATATGGACTCTCTACAGTGCCTTTGTTAATGAATTATTTCATTCAATTTTCTTAATTTTTGTGCGTAGCATATCTATATAAAAAAAATAAAATCAGATTGACTTGATGATTATAATTAGAAGTTATTTGTCCCTAGTATTACAGAGAATTGTACCATCCAATTTTGGACTTATGAGCATGCACTCTGATATGAACCGTTCATCTTTTAAATACTCGTGTGTAAACCATTCTTAAAAAAAATATAATGATTCGATAAACATAGTCATAAATTCATTGTATTCCATTTTTTTTAAATAAAAAATGGATTACCCTTTTTTTTTAAAATAAAAAATTACAATTAAATTATATGACTATGCTTATAGGATTGATATTTCAAAGATAATTTATACACAAATAAATAAATAAAAATGAACAATTTAAATTATCAAAATAAAACTCGTGCTGGGCTCATATTTTATGTTGAAAACCTAAAAATTTCTGAATTGATTATTAAAATAGACTCTATAACAAGCCCACATTGAGTACTTCTTTTGGATGGACAGGAGACAAATTGCTTCCCTGTCCTTCTCTAATAAGAGCAATTCCAATGGTAAAATAATTTTGCAACAAAAATATGTTTTGGCTTGTTACAATGTAAAAATATTATTTTTTTTGCTATTAATGTATAGTTTACTTACTATTTTGACACAATTAACTCTCGTATTAAATTTTCGTCATTGGATCTACTTATCAAAAAATATCTTGTGATCATGATTTAATTTTAATAATTGTGACAAAATAACTTTGCCAAACTTCAAATTAAATTTTACTCAAGATTTTAGTTCTCTCAGTTTTTACTAAAGATTAAATTTTAAGATATCTAATTGGCAAGTCCTTTGACTCTGTCATTATTGAGATATTGTATGTCTAAAATCAGCATTACAAAAATTTTATAACTTAGTTAACAAATGTCATGGGTAAACAATCATTAATATTAGAATATTCAGAAAATAATTTATGAATAAAATTTTTATACATAAACATCATCGAGAACAATGTGATAGTAACATATTTATAATTGCTGATAAAAAAAAGAAAAGAAAAAAAGTAACATATTTATAATTACAAACTAAAATAATGTGTGTTTTAAATTGAAATCAACGAACCATAAACAAACACGTTATTCTATTAAAAATTTCTATAGTTTGTAAAGCATTACCTGTAGAATTGACATGAACTCTTATGAGATGAAATGAAACTGATCCTACAATCATCTTCTTCTTCTGTTGTGCGGCGGTGGCGGGCGATCAGGAGTTACTACAGATGCACCCACCAAAAGCTCTACAACTGCCCGGCCAGAAAACAAGTCCAGCGACTCGACAACGACGCCTACACCTTCGAAGTCATCTACTGTGCTAATCATACTTGCCACATGTCCTCCACCGCACCCTCTATCCCTCCCATTTCCCCAGAACTCCTCCCTCAAATCACCCAACAACAACCCACCACCACCACCCACTCTCCGCCCCCACCGCCCACCTCGGCCCCTCTCGCCACATGGCTCTCGATGGACATCAACCAAAGCTCCGGCGAAGGCACTAGCAGCTTCTCCGCCGACCCACGTGTGCATTTGTTCAGGGACTTCGGTTTGAGAAGTGGTGGTGGTGGTGGTGGTGGTGGTGGTGCTGGGACAAGCAGTGGCGGTGCGGGTCCATCGTCGTCGACAACTAGGTACGGTGAGAATCAGTTTCCGGTGGCGGATTTGGCTGATGCCATGTTTAATTCAGGTAGTAGCAGTAATAATAGTATAGATGTCATTTTCTCTTCCATGGAAGATAAGTGGGAGCCAGCTCCTGGAGAGAAGAAGAACTGATTGCTTGATAGCTGCCCGACATAGAATTAAAACATAGAAAAGTACGCCGAAAGAGAACTGTCTGGTTTAGATTTATTTAAAGTATGCGATGAATCTATCACAAATAATATGTTTTTTTGTGTTTTTATTCTATGCGGTTATATTGCTTCTCAAGTGAATGCACATTAGTTAGCTGCGGATAGAACAATCCATAACAAGAAAGAGAAAAGAATATATGGGGAACTTGAGCAATTTCTTGACTGTAACATTTAACTCCCAACTGTGAGGAGTATTTTACTTGTTTTGATCAATTCATTCTTACTTGTGTTTTAGGAATTTTGTAAAATATTGATTGTCAATGAAAGCTTGTTATTTTGAAAATGATTGGACTCATGTATGGTTGCTTTGTCTTAGGCAGGGCACAAGATTTTGTGTTTAGATTATTATATTCATTTGTTTTGATGCATTATAGTTAAGATGATATTTTAAGATTTTTTGGTTTAATTTGTACGTCTCATTTATGTTTAGAAAAAATCATGTTTATAATTGCAATAATGGTATTATCATATTAAAATGTATGATTTTTTTATTATTATATAAAATCCTTATATGTTTAGCATATATATAAACATAAATATATGAATTGTAGTGCAAGGTAGGTAGGTAGGTTGTTCATGGTGGTTGAGTACTTAAAGAAAATGGCAACTAGTTATGGTGGAAGGTGTCTCTGAACCAATGGGATATAACAAACCACCACTTTCAGCCAGCTCCTTCCAGTTAAGTATTAGCAACTAGGTAGGTTGTTCATGGTGGTTGAGTAGTTAAAGAAAACGGCAACTAGTTATGGTGGAAGGTGTCTCTGAACCAATGGGATATAACAAACCACCACTTTCAGCCAGCTCTTTCCAGCTAAGTATTAGCAACTATAGTAAAGCATATTACACCTCTCAGAATCAATCAGATTGCTTCATCCAGCTCCTTTCCGGACTAGACGGTACTGAGTCGCAGTGGGCCCGACTCCAGACTCAACTCGGGTGATCCAAATCATTCAATATATAAAACTCGTCGAGTACAACATTTCACGTTAATCGAACATTGATAATCACTTGATCACTTTGCATTTGTGTCTAGGATTCATTTTTAAAATTATAATTGTTGTTGAAAGAAATACAAGTTGATCAGATGATTATTGATATTTGATCGATATGATTTTTTACAAGGATGACGTATTGGATAAATTCTACACATTCAACGGTACTGTTGGGGCGGCAAATTATTTTATTTATTTATTTTGGATCAAAAAGGAAAATTATATTACACACCTACTTTTTGTAATTTGGTTAGTGTTTGCAGTTTTGTTTGGGATAAATTAATTTCGTTCATTCCCACTGACCTTGCTCGGCCTTGGACTATCGCTTCTCCTAACTCAGCTTAGCCTGGTTCAACTTCCAAACCTTGAGCTAACTCAGCTGTATGATTTAGAACCTCAGCCAAACTGCCCTCCGCTATGCCAACTCGGTCTCATAATCCACCGGCAAGGCCCAAGTCACAACTAGCTCAGTTTATTTGCTTGGCACAAAATCCCTTCTCAGGAGAGATTGCTTTGGGATGGGGGGTTGCTTTTGTTCTGATTACATGGGCAATTTATTTTAGGTATGTGTTCATGTTCTAATTTTCTATGACAATATATATATATATATATAAGTATTAATGGTTTTTTTTTTATATTTTATTTATTTATTTTTATAGATTGCTTTTGCGTAAGTTATTGTGGATATTTATTTTTGCATATGAAGAGCATTTGTTCTATATATGGAAGACATTTATTTTTGTACAATTCTCTGTTTTGAAAATTTAGTATTTTTGTATGTAATATTTAATTTAGATGGATTATACTTGGTTAGCATGGATTTATATGATATTACAAGTTAAAGTTATTGGATAACTGATAATGATATGAGTATTATTGATAATGGATTTAGATTAAAATTGATAGAGGTGTTATTTTGTATTATATACAGGTTGTATTGATAATGGAATGCATATAATTTAGAAATTAATGAAAAATATTCAATTTGTGTGTTTTAAAAAAGTTAATAAATAGAGCTTTTGGCGACTAAATATTTAGTAGCCAAAAAATAAAAAAGAAACTTATTGGCGACTAAACAATTAGTAGGAAAAAAAATAAAAGTTTTTGGTGATTAAAAAATTAATAGCTAAAAAGGAGCACCATTATTTGAATTACTAAAAAACTGGTAGCCAAAAAAGAGTGCCTCGTTTGTAATAACTAAATGATTGGTAGTAAAAAAAAAACCAATGGTTTTTGGTGACTAGATATTTCTTCGCTAAACCAAAAAAGTACATTTATTGAAAACTTTGGACGACTAAATTTTTAATCGCCAATTGGTGACTTTTGGTGACTAAAAAAAAATTATTCGCCAATACATTTCCTGACAATCATCCAGTGACAAAGCTGGCAACCAAAAAATTTAGTCGGCAAAAATCTTTGGCGATTAAAAAATGTCTTTTGGCTACTATAAATTTAGTAGCCAAAAGTGTAATTTGTTGTAGTGAACTTAAATGTACTTAAAAAGTAAAATATTTGTGACATTTTATTTATTTTTATTTTTTTTATAAATTTCTATAAAAATATTTTATTTCTGAGTATATTTATATTAGGTGCAGCTAACAAATAAAAAAAATCTAAAATATGAGAAAACTTCACTAAATATAACAAAACAAGAAAAATACAAACTTAAAAACTATATTTAAAATTTCAAAATCAAACAAATTAATTATTTGATAGATTTATATTCATTTATTTCAAACTACAATGTTGAATTAATCTAGTGCAATTTTTTCTATAAATTTTTGTTTGTAAATTATTTTTCTTCTTTGATATGACATAAGATAAGGCAATTATACTAGGATAGAAGAATCACATTGTTTTATTACTATATTGAAAAACAATTCATCTATACAATTTCTCCCCAAAATCCCTCCAAATGACCTAGTAAATGTGGCTATTTTAACCCAAATGTGTACCCCAAACATAGCCTTAGGCTTCGTTTGGGAACAGACTAATTTAGTAACTTTTTGACTATTTGGCTAAAAAAGTAGGGAAAAAAAACTTATATGTTTGGGATGACTTTTTTGGCTAATTACGAAAAAATGTACAAAAAGTAAAGAGAAAAGAGAATCTTTAACTTTTTGGTATGAGTTGTTGAATTTTTAACTAAAAAGGTAACTTTTTCGCTTTTTGACTAAAAAGGTAAACCCCCAAACGGGGCTAGTCTCAAATAAATCCTCCTAATCCAAGGCACTCACAATCGCTAAATTATATTGCAAAATTTTCGTATCTTATAATTTTTACATGATTCAATAAATCAAAAATGTCATATTATATAATAAATAAATATAATAATTTTTTTTGATAAGTGTAGCGTTACTAATAATAAAGTTTTACTGCATACTTCTATTATGATCATTTAAGCATGCAACCATTTTTTTTACTGCAAAAAAGAAATATTATAAATGATGAGAAAAAGCATTACATGGTAAAGAAAAGAAATCCTAAAACTACATTATAATAATCGAACTCATCCCAATTATATTAGTACAAAAAAAGATTACTAAATCATGTGTGAGCAAATCCAACAATCTAATTATATAATATTTATGAGTCTCGTTTTAGAGATCATTTCTTCCTCTCAAAATAAAAATAAATAAATAAATAAATCATTTAACAATTTTAACCACTTGACATATAGAAGGTGATGGTGAGAAAGTTGCAAAAATGTTTTTCAAAATCATTTGATGAATTAAATGGTTAAAGTTCTCCAGGGCATTAGGGGCAAATTTTTTAGGGCCACCAATCATTTTCCTAAAATAAATTGCTATTAGATAACTTTTATAACCTCAATACTGTCCAAAAGTATACATAATTGTCACTTTTTTATGCATATGTACATAGTACAAAATAATAGCAGGTGGGCATTATAGGCTTAGCCCCTACAACTAGAGCTCATAAGTTATTCCTGAAGTCCCCATTGCGGCCACCAAAGTGGTGGGGGATGGAAAGATGTCCTCCATCCACATAATTGAGTTCGGCTTGATTTTTGGGAGTGTGACTAGTGACTTATTTTTTAAATGGTAAAGTTAATTATATTGTATTTCAATTGTGACTCTGTATTTTGTATTGGAGGTTGATACATTCTTCTCTTATTCTAGTGATAGATTCCTTCTTTTATAGGTTATGTTAAATCTAACTGATAATTGATTATCTTGGAATCAAGACCTACAGATGTTATGATACTCTCACGAAGCATTTTTTTCTGTTAAAAAAAAGTCCCCGTTATGATTTTAAATAAATAGAACATATATATATATATATATATTGTTGAGATATTGATATATTTTGGTGTATAATTGAACTGAAAATTACATATTTATTAATTGATCAGTTATCAAAATGTATCAACTCATATTTGATTCATGAGTGGAGTCACAATCGATATGATTAGTTCAAAATCGATACATGTAGTTCAATTACAATAAAATTCTTTTTCACAACTGGTAATTCTAACAAAATATGACCGCAATACTAGATTTTCAAGATTTCAAGAGTTCCACAAACAAATTAGCATAGTGTTTTAATAATCTCATAAGACACAAATATGTTAGGAGTGAATCTCATGAGTTGGTGTGATTTTGGAATTACTAAGGTTTTGTTTGGCATGTGTTAAAATAACACATTATTTTAGCATATTATTCTATTTTGGTCATAATTATTTTATTTGACTCATATCACCTTTCTATTATATCACTTCAAACTCAATTCATATTTTACATTTTTTTTCGTAAAAAATCAAAAAATATACTAATTTAATACTTCCCAAACAATCCCTAAAGCTAATCATAAATTATTTTAAATAATACTTTAACAATCATATTTATGTATTTAAAATATTTATTATGATTACAGACACGAGTAATAAGATTATTTAAATCAATATAATGATGGTGTGTGAGGTTATGAATACCTTAATATAATATTGACGTGTGCGATGATAAATATTCTATCCTTACCAATCATGGATGTAGCGACGGCACATGAACGGGATTTAATTTATTCGAAATTAAAAAGTTTTTACTAAGATACCAACATCTGTCTTAAAAATGTTTGACATAACCAATATAACAACACCAACATTTAAAAGTGCTAAACCCACTGCTTAGTTACCTTAATAAGAAATTCACATAAATTGCATTCCATCAGGCCCGACAGCACAATTGTCACTTTAATTGAGTCTAAAGTCACGTTTAAAAATATGTTATTTTAAAAAAAAAAATTTAATTTTTTTATAAAAAGATATAAAAAA